ATTTAACCTCACGGTGTTTGCTAATCACATTAAGATGACGCTGGAACTAGCTGGGTGTCCTAACAGCTCCCTCCCCACCCACAGGCAAGACCCTCCTTCCCCAAGCCTCTCTGAGTTCCACCTGGGCACCCTCCTGCCCGCCAATGCTCTGGCTTGTCGCCAGCAGCACAATCTTTGCCTCTGATAGGTCCTCCTCTCCCTGCCTGGCCCCTGCAAAGCTGACAGCTCACAACAACTCTATCTTTGGGTCATACTCTGCCTTTACCCCAGACACTGTCCTTTTCGATTATCTCTTGGCTCTGCACCCTACTCCCACACTTAGACCGAGCTTCCAGGAACCACGGCCCCCCAGGTCAGACGCATGCCCTTGCAGACAGCAGAGTTCAGAGAGAGAACTATCTTTTGAAGAGAACAAACTCAGTATTTTGAACAGAAAGAGCAAAGAAAGGTTTGGGAATTCATAACCTAGTCCTTAGCATAAATTCTGGCACTGTTTTTTATTAATACCATAGATGGCCAGCAAATTTAGCCAGGGTGAAGAATACCAAAGCTTTCTACGTACATGTATGTCTTTTTTAAATAAGCAAAACCCCATGCTTATCAAAATTCAAGAACAATAATAAATATTAACTGAACACCCACTTACACCAGGCACTTTATATATATCTTCAGTACACTGCAACACTCCAAAATACAACGCCCTGGCTCACAGTAAGTACTTAATACATTATCACCTGTTACCTACATTTCAACATCAAAGAAAACGGAGAGCAAAAAGGTTAAACTATTAGCCTAGAAACTCCCAGAATAGTACTGGGATCCGAATACAGGACTCTCTGGTTGCAAAGCCCTAGTGTTGCCTCCGTCTACTCTCAGTAACTCTAGGAAGTACTGCTGCAGATAAACGAGACTGAGAGGTTCAATGACTTGTTCAAGGTCACCCAAGTGGCAGTGTGGGCTGAAACTTCTCACTTAATGACCGTGCTCCCCAGCCTCTTCAATTACAGGACACCTTAGGAATGTGATCATCTGGATCAGTTAGGTTTTTGGACAATCAAGCCTTAGCACTACTTGCCCAATGCAAACATTTTTAAGTAGGGTCACTGTTATGAATACCAAACTCTGAACATAATGTAGTACACAAGAAACTCATTGAAGGAATGACCTTTTCAGACTCATCTTTATATCCCTCATTAAGACTAAATTACCTGCCCATCACAAGGTTAGATAAGCAATGAATGAATAAACACACAGCACTTCACTGCTTGGGACTTGAGTGTGCACTCAATTTCTGCAGATGGCTGAGTCATTCTGGTTGGAGAACTGGGTGACTTTGTCCCCCCAGGTCAGTCCTGACAGTGACCAGTGGCCCTTCCTCCACTACTCTAGGCCTTTCCTTCCACCTGCAGCCTAAACTTGAATGTTTAGCCCCACTCTGTGGCTGTGACCTGGACCCAGAGAAACCAGACAACCAAAAACTGTAGAAAGAACAATGTACCCCATAACAGGGAAAGAATGAAAATACAGGGACGTTGGGAAAACTTTTTATTGGTAGGTGATGATTTTGCATTTCTAGTTTCAGGGCCATTATCGAAGTATGAAGATCCCAGGACACTGACCTCCATACATGGATTACAAGAAAAAAACTTTTTTACTTAAGTTTATTTTTTACTTAACTTTGTTTTTTTCAAAAGTGTTTAAAATTTGAAAAGGAGGCTAGCTCGTTTAAGGCTAAATTGATTGGGACTAGAGATCTTAAAACAGGTTATAAACACTGCTGAATGACACCCTGTAAAAATGAAACTCTTTCAAAGGTAGTACAACACTGATAAAGTAGGAATTAGTCTCCATTATTTAGGAAAAAATTAGGTTTAAAATGTCTTAATTAAAATGTCTTTAGGGCCGACCCCGTGGCTTAGCGGTTAAGTGCGCGCGCTCCGCTGCTGGCAGCCCAGGTTCGGATCCCGGGCGGGCACCGACGCACCACTTCTCCAGCCACGATGAGGCAGTGTCCCACATACAGCAACTAGAAGGCTGTGCAACTATGACATACAACTATCTACTGGGGCTTTGGGGGAAAAAAAATAAAATAAATAAAAATTAAAAAAAAAAAGAAACCAGCTTTTTGGGCCGGCCCCGTGGCTTAGCGGTTAAGTGCGCATGCTCCACTGCTGGCGGCCCGGGTTCGGATCCTGGGCTCGCACCGACGCCCC